CAGTTTGGTTCTGAAAGTTACTTCTTTGCATGATCTACACATTCATGTATAGAGTTTCAAATTGATTACTTCCTTCCTTTCTTTGGAAGATTCTCTCATCCCTTTTTTTTGTATCAGATGGAGTAGTAGAAAGCCAAAAACTTTCTTTCCCAAAAAATTAATCACTTCTAAAAATATAACCCCTTCAATTCAAAAAAGGATTATAAAAATTTTGAATTGATTGTGCATTATTCACCTCTTTACACCCAATTTATCTTTTTCCAAATTATCATTTATCATATACCTACATATACCTACTTCGCATTGAATATGTTAATTTTCAATTACAGTGTAATATTGTGATATTGCAAAAATGTTATCTCGCAAATTGATGAAAAATTATAAACATCATCTAATTTTGGTAGATGGCTTCGCTGTCTGCAGAATTCAAATAATAACATGAAGATTCGCAGAAAACATCCTTTCAACACCTTCTTTCGTAACAAAATTATGAGAAACTTACAAAATTACAAAAAAAAAGAGGAATCAACATTTATAAATTCAAACACTCATTTTTCTGTGTTTTCGGATAAAAACCTTTGTATAGAGAATTACTTTTGATCTATAGAAAAATCACGTCTCATGAGAATGAGACTTGTGCTTCACACTCCTACAGAAAAAGCATATTCATATAATGATGGTCATACCTCTTGCCTTTATGTCCTCTTCGACAGTTCTCTCTTAATTGTTACCTTTACTGATGCAAAAAAATCAGATTTTTCCTGAGTATGAGGTCCACATTCAAGCCAAGGCAAAGGTTTTCTCAAAATGTTTTTCAGATCTTCGGGCTTAGTATGTTGTTTGAACCTGAATACGTTAAGTGAGACAAGTCGTGAGAAGGTTTCCACTTCACACTTTTCTCAACTCTGACCGACCAGATATATCCATTTTTGTTTAATTTATTTGGGTCCGGTTCGCATTTCAATTGATTTCAATGTTTCACTGTTTTCTTAGTTAGGTTGATTTAGTTATTTGACGGTATTAGAAATTACGCTATTTTCAGCTGTGACAGTCATTGAAAGTGACGAGCAGTCACTTTCAATGACTGCTCGTTGATATTTGTGTATTGTACAGACTGGGCCAAATCGTGAAATTTCAAAGGAAAACTCCTGTTTTCAAACTTGATAGATGAAACCTGATGGCCGTGTCTGAGAGTAAAATTTTATGACAGACATAAAGGTGAAAACCACATATCGACATCTATGTCGACATCTATGTCGACATCTATGTTACATGAATGAGCCAAAAATATACCATTTCCAAAAATGTAGCATACTTGATGTTTTACTAGAGATATCTTTGAAATATGTGTCTGTCTGTCAAACACATTTTTAGTTATTAAAAAAATCACAAGTTGAGTATGTTTCGATTATCTTCTTTCTACAATATTCATACCACCGCATTTCTGAAAGAAATGAAATTGAAAAAATCACATGTTGACAATCTCATTGTTTATTTCGATTATCTTCTCTCAACAATATTCCTACCACCGCATAAAATGTAAATTTCTGAGAGAAAGGAACTACTTCTTACCAAAATGTGCTGCTGGACATCAATGCAACGGTGTTTCTATAAACATACAGGCAGTTTCAATATATCCGTCAACACAAACTATTCCAGTGTCTGCTGAGAAATGATTACCGTAACAATAATTGATGAGAAGCAATAATTCCAACTGAGATGACCTTCTTGATGATTACTGAAAATGTACTCGATGAGTCAGGGTATATTTTTACTTTTGGTATATGTACAGAAAAAGTTCAGTTTTCGAATATTTATTATCATAACTGGAACAAAGTTATCTAAAGAGGTGGAAAAAAATTCTACCAGATCAATTTTTTCACAGACCTTCTGTTTGCGCGACCCCAGCGGAAATCACAGTTCCCGTTTTCACGTTTTCTGTTTGAAATATTTCAGATCCTTTCTGTGGTCAGGATGGAGCATCTGCTTGTATGCCATCATTGTACACATTTCTGGGAATTGCTTTTGTTATATTGAAAACTGGGTTCAACAATATCGCACACTTAGGTGAGTTAAATGAAAAAAACAAAGTTTTTTGTTCATACATACTCTCACACATATTCACATGTACACTGTCATATACACACGTACATTATTAACCAGAAATAGCCAACATGCAATATACTCGTCAGTAAAGTAAACACAATTTGTAAT